CTCGCAGAAATGTGGCCCTTCTGGTAGGTAAGGCTTGTGTCCTCTGAAAGCAGAGTATGTGGTTGGATGGCCCACATACAATTATCTGCTAAGACTAGGCTCCTGGGAAAACTTAGCAACTTGGTTTACTTTCTTTGGGTTAAAAAATATCACTTTAAGGCTCTTGAATTAGGGAGCCAATTGTGCATAGCTCAGGCATTCTTTTTTTTTTTTTTGAGAGAGGGTCTTGCTATGTACTTCAGACTGGCCTGGACTCACTGTGTAGCCCAGGCTGGCCTCAAACTCACGGTGACCCTCCTGCCTCAGTGTCCCAAATGCTGGGACGACAGGCATGGACCACCATACCTGGCTAGCTCCAGAATTCTTGATATGTGATCCACTATGTATCATTTATGCCTCAAATGGAAAAAGTCATGTTCTTTTCATAGTGACAGTGTGGGTGTGACAACTGCTCAAATCAATATTGCCTTTAGATTCTGCATGGTTTACATGTGACCTTCACTTTCTTTGGGTTGAGCTTATATGCTGGTGACCCCGTCCTCAGTTCTCTTTCTTTCTTCCCAGATTACAGACTGGAGCATGTCATCCAGTTGAGCCTGGCTGCCCTTGTCCTGTTGGTCCTTGTGGCTTTGTTGATGGATGCCTGGAAGAACAGAAGAGGCCTGTAAGATGCAGCCAGTGTGTTGGTATTCACTGTGGTGACAGGTCCCGAGAACGAGGTGCCCGTGGATGAAGAAAGGAAAGTAGAAGAAAAATAAGAGAGCTAAAAGTCTGGGATCAGAGGGCTCACAGCCTCTGGGACTGCCGCCCCAATCACTCATCTCAATCACCTTTTATTAAAACCAAGCACGTAACTAAGACCAACAAGAGAAATTCATTATCCCTTTCCATTTCTGCCTCTCAGCTGATGGTAACCATCCTCGGGGGGGGGGTGGGGTGGCCGTCCACACCCCACACCACGTGCGCTCAGTACTGCTGGGGATCATAAGCCGACCATCAGTAATCAACCCATTAGCAATCACAGTCCTTTCCCCGCATCAGGGGGCCCCAGGCTGGGAGACCTGCCAACACTTCCTAGTCCTCATCAAAATGCCAAAACACAGGGTCTCCAAGGATATGCAATCCACTGATTCTGTGTTCAGTGCTTCAGGATGGTACGGAGCCCCATAATTCTTTTGAGATTTTAATTTTTAACAATTTTTATTCTTTATTAGTCCATATTTGCAGGACACAGTGTTCACACTCCTTGTGAAGAGCCGGTACATGAACACAGGACACCTTCATTCCTTTTCCATTCCTTCCCCCTCCCTCTTCCAGCTCTCTGTCCCTTTCATTTGGCAGAAGATCTATCTCCTACTTCCTAGCATCTATCTTTTATTTTTCTCTTTATTTATTTAGTGTGTTCTTTTGAGATTTTATGACCGCTTTGGTATGGTTCTCTCCATACCACAGTGTTTTTTCTTGATTGTCGTCTTACTTGTGTCTGACAGTGCTCTCTGATGCCTGTTTCTCATCCCTGCTTTAGTCTGTGTGACTTTTTCTTTCCCATCCTCCTTCCCAATTTTTTTATTTTTATTTTTTATTTTTAAATTAAATTAAATTTAATTTAATTTTTTGAGACAGGATCTCACTATGCAGTCCAGGCTGGCCTTGAACTCACTTATGTAGCCTAGGCTGGTCTCGAACTCGCAACGATCCTTCCGCCTCAGCCTCCCGAGTGCTGGGATTACAGGCGTGCGCCACCACACCCAGCTCCCAATTTTCTATTCTTCTTCCACTCAGCTCTCTCACCCTAGCTTTCCCTTATTGCATCCTCCCCCAGGATGCTGGGACTCCACTCCCCGCTTCAGCTTCAGGTTTGTCAGAATCCAGCTCCAGCGTTAGGAGCAGAACTGAGACTTAGACAGTCTCTGTGTTCATGCATTGACGAGGCATGGCTCTCTCACCAGGAAGGGCAGGACTCACCCAATGCTGGTTCTGCTGTAGTGGAACCTCATGGTGTCCAATGGTGTTCAGCGTGACGTCATGCACACACTTGTCCTCGGTGGTTGTGAAATTTAAGTGTGAACCCTGTAGGGCCTATCCATGCCATGTTAGGAAAATCCTATGTACTCCATTTCTTAAAACACCATAGCCATATCTGCTTTTTTAAAAATTATGCTTGATATTGGTCCTTCCACAATTCATGACATTCATATGAGAGGAAATTCCACTAAGCATCTTTTCTATTCTTCACACTGTAGAGGCCTCACTCAGTAAGAGACAAAGGAGGAACTACGTGAAAAACATCTGTAGTCTTGGAGGGTGAATTCGCCAAGCAGCAGAGCCTTCTTTCTCTGTTTTGTCTTCTAGCTCCTCTCCGATGCTCTTTTCAGGTACCCGGTCCTTGTTTCCGCATTTGAGTGGTTTTCCTCCCCACATGTCTGTCTTCCTCTTCCTGTTTCCTAGTTTTCTGTCCCTCGTTTACTCCAACCCCTCACTATGGCCTTTCCTTCATCACACCCCATCCCCCAGCGACCCCACAGCGCCTCTTGTCTGGAGCTGCCATGCATCCTTTTCCACCTGCACTGCCCCACACGCACTCTGCCTCAGAGTGCCAGCGTTCCCCTCCTGAGTGCAAACCCGGTGCACAAGTGCACCTTGCTGTGCTTCTGTGCAACAGGAGAGCCTCAGAGACGCTCTGGGGGCTGGCGTGGGATGCATCTTAGCACCCCCAACTGTGACCTGCTGGCCCCACTCATGTGGTGCTGTTGAGTGCAGGTCCCCGTGGGCACCATCAGAGTAACAAGCAGGGTGGTCTCATCACAGATTCGGGGTGTTATGTGGGTGACTTGTGATGGTAAGGCACCAAATGTGGGGATATGGAAGAAAGCAATTAGGTGAACCCTCTGCTTCAATAAATTCTGCTTTAATAAATAATTTAACGTTCAGTTCTGCATTGTTCAGTTGTTCAGTTCTGCAATATTCAATTCTAATGTTCAGTAGGTTCTGCTTCAATAAATAACTTAATATTCAATTCTGCATTTGGTTGTTCTGTTTTCCTGCAGTGCTGGGCAGAATTTTAAAGACTTTCCAAGACTTAAAAAAAAAAAAAGGACCTGACTGTATTTTTTTTTTAAAAAGGAAAGCAGAGAACAATATAAATGTGGCTAACTTCCATCTTGTAGCCACTCTTCTTGTCATGAAAGGAAGAAAAGGTGGGAAAATGTTAATCTGAGCATAACATGTGATGTGTTAATTACTTGTTTCAAGGAAGAGGCAAATAAGTGATGGAGGTGATGATAGATGAGGCCTCATGGAGGGTGACTTTAGCATGATCCACCCAGTTTTTTGGGTGCATGAGCCCGAAACACTTCCAGATGGACGAGGAATGTGTCCAGGGGATTAGACCAGTGAGCACAGCAACGTGACCGCAGGTGGCTTTTCCTTCCCGCCGGAGTCACGTGGTGAACGTCTCCTTCTAGTCCAATTGCTGCAGTTGAGGGGGTGGGGGGTGCTCAGCTGCACACAGGAGCACACACTTATTTCCCCCCCGCAGGCTTGGGGTGTCTGTGGGTGCTGTGCTCCAGGCACAGCTTGGGCTCAGGGGCACTTCCTGAACCTTCTCTGTCAGCACCAGCCAGCCTTGTGTTTCTAGGGACCCAGGGACCAGCTGAGAAGCCTCTTTTTGCTTAGAGATGAGTGAGTTCAGCTCCCACATCGTTATCCAAATTATAGCCATTAGGTTGGCATTGTTCTCCCAGGAAAGGTTCTAAAAAGTTCTTGCAAATTCCACTTCTGAGCGATGGCCAGTCTTGTTTATTTCCCTTCTTCCTTGGGTACCATAGTCCCCCACTGCCTTTTACCCCTCCCCAGTGAAGGTGTTGTTTTGGATATTTTGTCCTTTATCCACGTGATTTGTTGAAAGGCCTAGGGCAGGCCTGATCTCTCTACAGACAGAAGCAGGGTCTTAAATCTAGAGTAACAGCCATTCTCTCGACATGATTGCAGCTCTCTGGCTGTTGTTCTTTCTTCCTGTTGGTTTTTATACAACTGAACCATGAAGTTACATTTTAGAGCTTTTCCAGGGAGTGAGACATGTGGGTGGTTGTCCCTTCCTTGGAGCTGAATCCTTTCTGTAGAAATGAAAAGTTTCCTGAGTAAACAAGTCCAGCAAGTCAAATGAATTACCACGGAAAGAATGAGAATTTTTGCCACGTTAAGAAATACATCGCTGGGTCACACTTTAAACTGGAATAGAAAACTTAGAAAATTAATCATGTGTGTATTTTCACAGCAACACAAAATATCCTATTGAGTCTTTTTCATGAAAAAGCATCTTAAGTATCACAAATATTTAATGAGAAGTAACTAATTTTTAAAATGCTAAAGAAAGCAACAGGTATTCAATAGTTTACGTATTTCCCAAGTACACTGAAGGTTCCCAACACCTTGAGTGAATTAAAATTCCCATTCCAAAGTCTCGAGACGGTGGCCCCTAGCAGAGAGTTTGCTAGACATCCCTGGGCTGCAATAACTCAGGTGAAATTTTCTTTATTAAACGTATTCTTGAGGGATGATGAACATAAGAGGAGTGGTGCGTGGCTGATGTTCACATCTTGATGGGATCACAGAGAAGTATATTCCGTAGCACCTGCATTCGCAGGGGATACCAATCACCTCTCAATGTCTAACCCCCCTTTCACGTTCTTATGCTTGCCCTACATTTGTTTATTAAAAAAACAGAAGAGCTGTTTTCTTAGCAAATTTGAAGTACGACAAAAGGGCCTGGCAGCTTTAGGCAATAGGTTCTACAGTATGTCAGAGAAGCTTCCCTGACAGAGAATCCACCTGCTACAAATGCATTAGACCCCAGACACCTCCCCTGGCCCTAATTTCCTCCCTCCTATTCTCAGATTCGGCTTCTTCCTGTAGCTGACCCTGAATCTTCTCACTGTTTCCATGGATTCCACATATATGAGATTCCTGGCTCCACTGTATCTTCTTGTCTGTGATGCCTCCATCTTCCTACAGAAGGTATGCACATCCGCGGGACAGAGTCACACTCAGCTCCCTTGTCACTGTGGATGGAAGGTCAAAGCAGGAAACACATAGAGGAACTCAGAGATGTGGGGAGGGGCCGAGGGGCAGGGCCTGGCCTTGTTCAAGAGCAGCTCCCTTCCTGTTTAGTAGCTGAACCCATCACGCTGTGGCAAGGACTCAGAACCCAGGTTGTGGTCCCCTGGTGTCCCCAGTGTGAAGGTGCGAGACGCCCGCTGAGCACCGTGGAGACCTGGGCTGAGGCGGCGCCATGCCCCCTGGCCTCGCTCTGCTGCTTGGACTTGGTGAGCGCTGTAGGGAAGGGAGGTGGGGGGCGGGAGGGGAAGAGCTCAGAGATGGCCGAGTCTATCACTGGGGCTCCTCACAGGGCTCTTCCTCTGTGAGCTCTGGCCGGGGTTATTTGAGGCCTTTGGCTCCTGACCCCAGGTCTGTGTCCTGAGCCCAGGGGCGGGGTCACCGCGTCCCAGGCAGGCGCCTCTCACCAGTCTCTCTATTTCAGTGTCTGCTCTGGAGCAGAGGATCTGGGCCCGCAGTGGTGAGTTTCCCTGCGTTCAGTGCTGGGAGCTGGGAGTGAGGCTGGGCGGAGGGTGGGCGGAGCCTGAGGGTGTTGGGCTGAGGCAGGAGGAGCCCGTCCTGTGCTGCCATCCACACTCTTCCCTGAGGAGTCACCATCAGGGCCCGTGGCAAACAGGTGAGATGCACTGGGATGTGCACAGGCCTGGGGACCTCGCACAGGACGCTGCTCCCCGAGGACAGAGTGGCCACGGTTCCAATGAGGCTGCATTCTCCCCATTTGCTGTCTTGGGGATGCTCTGGACTCTCTTATCCCAGAGAGGCCATCTTGGGCCAATACTCCCTCATGGAGGACACAGATTTGAACTACGGTGCTGAGCCCCAGGGGTATCTGCTCTGTGACCCTCTCTACAAGTTATTTTGCATATGTCACCCAGTTTCTGTTCTCAAATACAGAACAACAGGGTGTTTCTCAGTGGACACAGAGAGCAGATGGTGAAATCATCAGGGCCTCGCTGCTGTAAGTGCGGGCACACAGAGGCTATAGCTGCTGGGTAATGCTCATGTTCCTGTATTTCCACAGAGTCAGCATTGTCAGCTCTGTGTGTGTGTGAGACACACACACACACACACACACACTCATGCTCCCTTTTTGCTTCCCCAAGAGCAAAGGTCATTCCCACTTAGTGCAGATGTACGGGCGCTGCCTGTGGCCCCAGCATTTCTATGTGTGCCGGGGACACTCAGACACCCTTGACCTCTGAAAGAAATGAGAAGGAACACATTGGTCATGTACACAGTGCTGTGTCCGGGGGAGCTGGATGCTGAGGAGAAGTGTGGGTGTGGAAGGGCAGGGAGTTTGCCATGGGGAGAGTTGTAGGCACCATTGGCAGGAGGAAGGTTGCAGGTTGTGGGAGGGGTTTCCTGGTCTGTGGTAAAGGGATGTCCAGGGAGCAGGGTGGAGCCACTGTAGGGCACTGTGTTATTGGGGTGAATCTAGGAGTGCTGACCTGGCCTTGGCCTTGGCCAGGGCTTGTGCAGAGATAGGGCTGTGTGAGAACAAGGTCCAAAGTGCAGTCACTGCCTGAAGAGCCGTGTGGCCAGGATCAGTGCTCAGGGGTCTCTGTGAGTGACAGCAGAGCCACTGCAGGGTGATGACAGAGGACAGAGGTGATGGATGTATTTAAATAGGATCCCAGGCTCCAGGGTGAGGACGGGGCAGGGAAGGGCCTGGGGCTGATGTGGAAGAAGATAGAGGAAGGCACCACACAACGGTTCAAAGAGACATAACGTCCACTGGGCCCAGGCCCATCGGGGCAGCAGAGTGATGGGACGGGGGATCCACAGGATTCCTTCCCAGGCTGGGGCGAGGGGTGAGAGGCAGTAGCGCAGGGCTGAGGAAGGAAGATGAGTGGTACAGGGACCAGGCCGGTGCAGTGGGTGAGGTCTTTGTGAGTGTGCAGGAGCCGAAGTTCGTGTATAGTTACTCAGGAGAGGGTAGGAGGAGACTGAACTGCTCTGGAGATCAGGTGTGTGTGTGTGTGTGTGTGAGATGAATATACACTCACACGGGGATGGATACAGAGATACTAGATGTAGGGGGACATGGTGGGTAGAATCCCGGATATCGCAGTGGATAGCTAGGTGAGAAATGATAGATAGTTGTGTGCTGGAGATGAAACTATACACACGGTCTGCCAAAAATGTGTACACAGGTGAGGAAAGAGAAAGTTGAGTAAATAATTTAATACTAAATTTATTGAGCCACCATGAGATTAATACAAGTTGCCTTTGGCCTCTACAATTCCAAGGGGTGCTCACGGTGCAGGCCTTTCACTTCCAGACCTTGATTAGCGCAGTGAACTTCTGAAGTGTGTACATATTCCCCAGACTCTGTATGTACGAGACACATACTGAAGAGGAACCCAGCTACACTCCCAGCACACGTGTGTGGAGAAGGCGGGAATCAGCCGGGGAGCAGACTCTGCTCTCCAGAGACTGAGCACTGGGCTCCGGGAAGCCAGGGCAAGGGCTCCTGTCGCAGGCGGGTGGTGTCACAGGCTGAAGATACACGCAGACCTCACTAGGACTCCCTTCAGGGTGAGGGACAGCAGTTCCTCCACTGCCTGGGGTCACGTGTCAGCCCAGGGAGTGAGCCGGGTTCACACCCAGGTGACAGCTGAGATCCCGGTTCTGTCCCACAGCCAGAGCCCGAGCAGCTTGGGCCCCTTGGGGAGGGCAGAGGGCTCTCCTTCCCTCGCAGCCCTCAGGATCTTGCTCTGTTTCCAGGCTCACAGTCCCAGCCCTGTATCTGGGCAGTGCCAGGAGCTGTGATTCCCCGGGACGGTTCTGTGAGCATCTTCTGCAGGGTCCCTCCAGGGGTGACTGCATTGCGCTTATATCAGTTAAAACCCAGAGAAATGTGGTACGACAGAGAGCCAGAGGGAGTCCGAGATGCAGAGGAATTCTCCCTGCCGAAAGTGATGCTCATCGATGCAGGGATTTATACCTGTGAATACTTAAAGCGAGGAAACTGGTCACGATGCAGCGAGTCACTGGAGCTGGTGGTGACAGGTGAGGACACCAGGGACACTGTGCCTTGAGCTCTGTGAGCTGGTTCTCTGCATCCTCCTCGCTGGTGCAGATGGGCCCCATCACAGTTCCTGCCCTGTCTCTGCCCGTCTCTCGGGCTCCCCTCCCTCTGTGCTGCCCGTGCTCCCTGCTCCCTCAGAGCGGCAGCTGGATTCCCCAGGAAGCACCGCATGGGCACAGGCTCCTGCTCCTCTCTGGTCCTGGCTCCTGGGAAAGTAGGAAGGAGGGGTTTTGGGTTTTATCATCCTGATCCCTGCCCTGAGGCAAGGTGTGAGTTTCTTCTTAGCTTCTTTGTTCTCCCTGAGGCCCTGAGACAGGTGGGGCTATTTTAATAATGATTCTAATATCAGGCTCTATTCCCTTCCAGGGGTCATCAAGGACAAGCCATCCCTGGCTGCTCACCCAGCCGCCCAGGTGGCCTCAGGAGAAAACGTGACTCTCCAGTGTCAGTCACTCTACTCCTATGACACCTACGTCCTGTGCAGGGGAGGAGGAGCTTCCTTCCCCCAGGACTGTTCTCGTCAGCACCACAGCTCCTTCCTCATCCCCCCCGTGAGCCTGGATCAGGCCGGGACCTACACCTGCTATGGCTCCCATAACCACAGCCCCCAGCAATGGTCCCTGCCCAGCGACCCCCTCCAGCTTTCTGTCACAAGTGAGTGACTCTAGTTCGTGTTAGGGGAAGTCTCTCTGGGGGCCTCTCAGCTGTGCTGTGTGTGTTGTCATTGTTGTTAGTGATATTGTGCGCTACATCCCTCGTCCCATCTAATCTACCCTTGTTGATTTTAGACCCTGAACATCAGTATCATTATCACCATGTTTGGCAGGTAGCAGTAGGTTGTTTTGGGGAAGGGAGATCTTTACCGCATCACAGAAGTGCTGTGTGACCTGGTGCCAATGCTGGCATCCTGTGAGAAAGGTGATGCACCTCTCCGCTGCTGTCTGTGTCACCCAGCACTTCCCGCCTCCCCAAGCTGTCCCTGTCTCTGTGTGTGGGTGACAGCAAGGGCATCACCAGCTGCTGGTAATGGGAAAGTGAAAGGGTCTCTCCCAGTTTCCTCATTCAAGATGACTTTGTGGGTCTTTGTGTCACCTGCACCCTTCTGAGCTGATGCCGTGACCCCGGTGGTGTCTTTACGGCCCCCAGGTCAGTGGAGAATGCAGGAAGACAGTCATGGCGGGATTCCCAAGGTGGATTCATGGTCCTGATGCTATGGGGTCATGCAGGAAGGGACAGTGCACTCCTCCTTGGCGGATGGGGCTGAGCTCTGCATGCCTCAGTTTTTCTAGGCCACTGGGGCTTGTCAGGGTCAAGGAAGAGAACCAACTGACATTAGGTCCTCCAACCTTTCTGTAATTCCAGTCTAGTGTCACTGTGCTTTTCTCAACTTCCCTCTAATCCCCAAACCCAGTCCACTTCTCTCTTCCTTGTCTGCAAAGTCTGTTTCCAGACTGCCCTGTGTGCCTCAACTCAGCTCCATCCTCAAAGGTGGCTTTAATCTTCAGGCATTGCCCCACCCCACGCTGTCTCCTCAGGGCAGCTGGCTGCTCTGTCCCCTGCAGTCCTCTGGGCTCTCTGTGGCACTGAGCAGGACAGAAGCCTCAGCAGAACCTGCACATGAGCGCCCCCACCCTGCCATCCCCTCACCTCCTCCCGCGGCACCAAGTGCTTTATCCTCTGTCTGGATGCTTCTCCTTCCCAACCCCTCTCTCTCCCTCACTTAGGAGGAGGCTGCAAAGTCTGCAGGATCTAAATTCCTTGTCTGACATCCTGTGGAACGTTCCTTCCCATCAGCCCCATCTCCCAGTTCAGTCTCCTCCTCTCTGCTCCCCACATCACGTGATCCAGGTCCTTCCAGGCTCACTGTCAATGCTGTACCTGCCTTGACTCTAAGCACCCAAGGGGCAGATCATGGGAGTCTCCTAGCCCCTAATGAGGAGGCTGTGTCCCCTGCTTTATGTTCCATCTTACACTGTGAACGCTGTGATATGGACAGCAATACCTGCTTCCCAGCCATCCCCGGTGCCCACTTTCCATGGCGGGAAGATTTCTAAGCTGTGCCAGGCAGGGGCACTGCATTTCAGTGTCCATGTGGCATTTTGCTGCGGTTGATTCTGGAGTTTGCTATGTTTGTAACTCTACAAGTTAGAAGAGAAGATTTCTTGCCATGCTGTCTACAACCAGGACCTCCTGAAACCCAGGGACCTTAACTCCAGGATCCCTGCCTGCTGTGGGGAACAGTTTGGTGAAAATCCACCTAGTCTGACCCCTTCTGGTATAGCTGGGCAGATCCTCCTAGACTGGAGCTAACTGTGTCAGTGGAGATATCGGTGACCTGGGCAGCAGCCTGTCCATTTCTGTAACTGCCCCAGTTGCCACTGGCTTCCCTGAGTCCTGTGACCTGGAGCAGTGAGCTGATGGCAGGGAAAGTAGTGAAGCCACAAATACCGATGACCCCACCTTCCAGATTGCTGCACGATGTTTTGCACACTAATTCTAACCAGGACAGTGAGATCGATCTATGATGGCAATGCACAGGGCTCCTCGGTTCCTGGGGAATCTGAGCACCAGGCTTTCCTTCCACGGGGCATCACCTCCTTGTGAGCTGAGCCTCCCTCAGTCCAGGAATGCTACAAAAGGAAAGGGGAGTTGGCTTCATGGGGAGGTTCTGAATGAGACCCCTGTTTTGGTTTCCATCTGACTTGCAAGATGGCGGCTCTGTATGTGATCTTTGTACTTTGGGTTCTTGGCTCCATACTGAACTTTTTCCTTTTCAGCCCCAGATTACACAACAGAGAATATCGTCCGGCTGAGCCTGGGTATCCTCATCCTGTTTGTCCTTGGAGCTGTGTTGCTGGATGCCTGGAAGGGCAGAAGTGGTCTCTGATGTATGACCAACGAGCTCAGGCCGAGAGCATCACTAACTCTTCATGGCCCACCTCAAACACTGGCGTAAAAGAGCCACCCAGCAATGAAAAATAGTGAACAATCGGCACAGGCAGCAAAGTAGATGTCTTTCAAGCCCTTCGCTCTCTGTGGAAGAAACTAGACATAAACTATTATGCCCTGTAGGATTTCATTCCTATGAAATTTTATGTCAGGCAAAATGCACCAGTGTTGCCCAGTTGCTGGGGTGGGGATGGGGAGTAGGTAGGAGACAGTAGATGGGAGGGGGCCTGAGGGAACTTTCTGGGCTGATTCATTTTCTTGCACTTTACAGGAGCGATGGCTTCATGGGTTTAAGAATTTGTCAAATCCTATTGAATTGTATGCTTGAAACCTAAACTGTGCACTCAATACAAATATAGCTCAGTTTAGCAGTCAGACATGGGATTTATAAAAATGAACTCCATATTGACTTACTATGAAACAAGTCACAAAAAATGCAAAGTTATGTTAGAGAGAGTACCTTGTCTGATCACAGTGTAATTAAGCTAGAAATCATGACAAAATGATAGAATACTATACTATGTGCTTTAATTTAAAAGGAACGCTGCTAAGAACCCACATGTCATACAAGAAATACAATGGAAATTAGAAAATACATTGAATTAAATGTCAACTTAAGTACAGTGTGTATTCATTATATGTACCCATTTTAGTGCTTGGGGAGAAACACCTGGTCATAAGCACAAATATTAGAAAAGAAAAAGAACTGAGAATTAATTAATGGTGCACTCAAGAAGAATAATGGCAAAATAAATCAAACAGGTGAAGGAAGAAAATGCTACAGAGAAAAATTAATGGTGGAGAAAAGAGGCCTGCACTAGAGAATACTGCCAATGCCAAAAGTTAGACACCCTCGGGAGGAGTAAGTATGGTAATCCCCAGGTGAGAATGACAAAGAGGAAATGAAGGAAGACACAGAAAGCCAAGAGTGCTGTGGCTTAGGTCCTGAATGTCCCTCAAAGCCTCTTCATTTAGAGGCTAGGCCTTGGGAAGGTGACTGCGTTGCAGTAGACAGGACAGGCAGGTAGGGAAAGGCCAGGCCCGAGAGGGAGGCGGCACAGCCCAGTGAATGTCAAGATAAGTTGAGCTGACAAAAACTGGGTCCCAGGGTAGAGGCATGAGAGCTTTTCCAGGGCTCTGAGTGCCTGATATGCAAGGTTTCCTGCTAATAACTGGTGGTACTTGCTCACCCACTAAGCCCTGGAATGTGCTGAGAAAGGTGACAGAAAATCAGGGCCACCAAGCTCTACTCCTACCCCTTCTGAAGACTGTCCTTGCTCTGCTTGTCCTGGTAATTTCAGAAAAAGCCACAATTCATGGTCCTTACAAAGCTATGCTTGCTGCATGCCCTGGGTTTCCTTTTTATGGTTTTTGTTTGTATTTGTGTTTTTTTGAGACAGGGTCTCACTACATAGCCCAGGCTGCTCTCAGATCTATGGTAATCTTCCAATACATTTTACTTTATACCAATACGTTGTAAAATTTAGAAGAAGTATACAATTTGTTTGAAAAAATATAACTGAGCAGACTGCCTCAAGAAGAAGTAAAAACTCTAAATAGTCTTGTCTGACTCTCCAACATTTCATCTAGGTATTGGCTGTGTCAATATAACCATATGCCTGAGGATGCTCACTTATAAAGTGGAAAGATTTATTTGCAACCAAACTTTTGGAGGTTTCAATCTACTGCATCGTGGAATGGCTCTTGATGTTCCCCAAGAAAAATGGCAAGAGGATGAAGAAATAAAGATAAAAGATGAAAGCTGAGATCAGGCAGTGGCCTCTCTCTCCTGATGGGAGGAAAGGAACTGCTCAATCACACTAGGGATATTTATTTATTTATTTGACAAAGTTAGTATCATGCCACACACGGTTGCTTAGTGACTAATGATTGGAATTGTCTCAGGCTAGGTAAACACCTAGCACCTGAAGCATCTTGATTGTTTTAGGTACTCTTCATTCTTGGACTGGCCTTGCCTTACCAGACACATGTAACCAATTTCCAGCTTCAGCCACTCCCTGCACCAGTGGAAGATCAGGCAAACCATTGCTTTGGGGTGTTGGGTGGAAGTAGCAGGAACCATAGGGTGGAACAAACTGCTCACCTCATGGCCTAAAAGCAAAATGGAAGCAAGAAGGGGCTGGATCTTGTTATGGCCGAATTTGGCTTGTATTCCACAAGAGACTGACTCTATTGAGAACAAGACAGAGTTTAATTTGAGGCTAGCCACCCTTCATTCCTGATTTGCAAATCAGGGAAGTGGTCATGGGCCTACCTTTGTTCCCACCTTATATGCATTTTGGGTTTCCATGGTAACAGATTGGACTGTTGCAGCCCTGGCCACACGTTGATTTCCTTGTGCCACATGACCAGGTCTGGCTCTGGACGTGAGCCAACCACAATGATATATACTTTCTGTACTCTGTTCTATGTCCCCCTTTAGATAACCATACAATGCCTTTTTAGTTACAATGTTTATTTAGGGCAAGGGAAGGGATGAAACAACCCAGGCAGGGTCATAGTTGGTTATCTGGGCCTGCGTGTTCTTTGTCTTTGTTTTGTTTTGTTTTTTTGTTTTGGTTTTTCTCCGGTACCGGGAACCGAACTCACGACCTTGCGCTTGCCAGGCAGGCGCTTTGCCGCTGAGCTAAATCCCCAGCCCCTGTTCTTTGTCTTTGGAGAAGCATTCCATGGCTAAGTCAGGACTGCAAAGTTAACTTTTTATAACCCCTCTGGGATGTTTCTCAAGACACATTTGAGGTTAGCATTAAGACTAGAATTATTCTATTTAAAATGATATGCTAAGAGTCGTCATCCCCCTACAGTCTTCCAGTCACCTTCAAGTGCAGCCCCATGACTTGAAGCCTTACCTTACCACATCTCAATAGTGCCACCCTCGGGATCAAGTCTTTAACATAGAGGCCCTTGGAGCCTGTCTTAGTTACTTTTCTCATGGGTGAGACAAAGCACCTGACACCAACAAGTTAAGGGAGGAGAGGTTTATTTAGCTCACAGGTTTCAGTTATTTAGCTCACAGTGTACAGGTTTCAGTCCATAATCGGCTGGCTCCTAGGCAGGGTGTCACAGCAGAGAGGTGTCACCGAGGAGAAACAGTGTATTGCAGGCAGACAATAGCAAAGCAGTGTGGGAGGACAGAAGCTTCTTTGTGTCCCTTTTATCTTATCCAGGCTACTTAGGGCAGGCAGTACTCATACCCTTTATCCTGGTGCACTTGATCCTAGCATTGCATCATGACTCAATTCCAGCATCACATACCCTGATCCAGCCACCTCTGCAAAAGGCCCACCTGTGACTGAAATTGGCTTTGCAGGGGACATCTAGGCACAAGCTTTAACATTCTACCCCTAGGAGGCCTTATGCAAAACACATTTAGTTCATCTCTAAGAGTTGCCAAGGTCTTGTCAGTTTCAGGATTGCTGAGAGGTCCAAATCCTAAGTCTCTTCTGAGATTTAATGCAAACTCTTAGCTCCAAGTACTTATACACATGAAAAAAAGTTAAACACTTCCAACATGCAATGGCACAAGGTAGACGTTTCCATTCTAAAAGTTACAAAAGCCAGGATACAGAAGATTGGGACCAAAGCAAGTTCAACACCCAGCAAGGCAAACATTAATTCCTGTGGTTCCATGTCCAGCATCTGAAGCAATCTGTGGCAAGTTGTGGACTTCAAAGCTCTTGTGTGGCTTCCTGTCTACTGTACTTCCAGTAGTTGTAGCTCACATGGCTCCCGTCTTGGGCATGCTCTACTCACTTGCGGGTTTCCTCAGACAAATTATGTTCCTGGCTTCTCCAAACTTTTGGCGTCTCTACTGCACCTTTGGCTTCACATTCATAGCTTCAGACACTTATCAAATCAAGGTGGAAGCCTTCTTAATCCTATAACTCCTGCACTCTGCATGTGCCTATAACTCCTGCCACATGCATGGTACTTAGGTCTGCTGCCAGCAGGAGCTGTAGTCCTTTCTGTTTTGGTTGTAGGGCTGAAGTGCTGGATCACTGAGCAGTCCGAATCCAATTGTGAGTTACAAATTTTCTATGTTGCCACCATTCTGGAACATGGTGTGGTCCCTGCCATTCTCGAATCTGATGCTCTGGGGCTTTCTGCTCAAAGCAAAGTCCTTCAGTTTTGTAGTTTTTAGACTGTGATGGGTGGAGTTCTGTTCCTTGTGATGCCCTCAGGCCATGTTGTCTTTCCTCCTGTTCCTTTTCAGCAATCACGATCTCCTCTGCGCTATATTTGTAGACCACAGCTTTAGTGGAGCTTCCTTTCTTGCCAAAATAACAGCACTTTAAATCATACTGTCAGGTTATTTGCTCTTAATTCTCAAAATAGATCTGGCTAAAAGCCTCTAACAGTAGCCATACTGCCTCAACATTAGACTTCCTGAAATTTCTTCTCCCTGATTAATTAGTCCGCAACCCTTGATATTAACCTCAGACAAAGTCTCTGGACACAAGCAAAATGCCGACAAACTTTCTGCCAAGCCATAGCACACATCATCTGAAGTTCAACAACCAATTTCCTTTCCTTCTTTCCAGCAGAAACCTCCTGAGCCTGGTGTTTACCAGCAGGATTTCTATCAGCCACTGGGTCTTCTGAATTCTGACCAGGATCTCCCACACAGAACAGCCTAGGGCGTTTGTTATGTTTTGTGTCTGGATGTCCCTTCAAAGCCTTCTGCAGTTATGGGGGCCAGGCTTTTTGGAGGCGACTGAATCTAGAGATTTTGATTGGTTCATTGTCAAGTCTTGGAATTGGTGGTGTGAGTGCTATACCCGCCCCAAGGTACAGAGCCTGCATACAATATGAGGGAGGAAAAGATCCTTACTCCTCCCTTTTACCCTTTTTGCTCTTGCTGCTTTTGGTATCTTCTGCTGCCATGAATGTTTCCCCCTCATCCACATGCCACCTTACATTGGAGCCAGCTGATTATAGAATGAAACCTCCACAAACTGTGAGCTAAATAAACCTTTCCTTCCTCTGTTTTGGGCATTGAGTACTTTGTCTCAGCGATGAGAGAAAAGTAACTAAGACAGTGTTCCTGCTCTACCTTTTCAGCTGTCATCTCCAAAACTTTCCAAACTCTTCCCACAAGCCATTTCCAAAGGCTTATGAACCATATTGCCAGGTATAGTCCTACACCCCAATTCTCTGGTACCAAATTCTGTCTCAGTTCCTTTTCTCTCATTGCTGATCCAAAATACCCAATACCCTGAACTTCAGAGAAGAAAGCTTTACTTAGCTTACAGTTTGTAGGGGTTTCAGTACACGGTTGGTTGGCTCAAAGGCAGAGTGGCATATGGCAGAGACATAACAGTTCATGGCAGTTGAAAACAACAAAATCAACCAGGGTGGAGGGCAAGACTCTTTCTATCTCTTATATATTGTACCTAGATGGCTGGGAGTAGGATGGTGCCAAACCAATTAGTGAATTGATTTTGCAATCACACAACCTCAATCTCAGCATCACACACTCTAGATTCACTCACCTCTGAAAAACCCTAAAACTGCATTGAAGTTTGGGGCGACATCTACACACAAACCATAACAACTTCTGACCCTAAACAAACCAGTCTGACCCCTTCTGGCAGAGCTGGGCAGGCCCTCCTGGATTGGAGCTAACCTGGAGATGTTGGGTGATCTGGGCATTGCCCTCTTCACGTCTGTGTCTCCTTGAGGTACTGTTGGCTTTCCCGAGTCCTGTGGCCTGGAGCAGATGAGCTGATGGCAGAGTAACCAGAGAAGCCCCAGGTGCCAATGACTCCACTTTCCAGATCCTTGCACGGTCTGTTGCCCACTACCTCTCACCAGGACATTGAGGACACTCCAGGACAGCAACCTGAGTGGCTATTAGGGTCCTGGTGAACATGAGCACCAGGTTTTCCTTCCATGGAGCCCCACCTCATGTCAAGTCTGTTGGTTTAGGGTAGAGACTGTGGTGTGACTCTTATCTTCACTCATGCTGAACATAGGGACCCTTGTGAGCCGAGACTCTTGCAGTCTAGGAATGCTACATGGGAAAGGACAGGTGGGTTCATGGGGAGGGTCTGAGTGAGACCCCTCAGTTCTTCATCTGGCTTGGATGATGGGTGGTCTGTATGTGATCTTTGTATTTTTGGGGGGCAGGGTCTGAGTTCTTTGTTCCCTATTGAATTTCTCTCGTCAGGCCCAGATTATCGAGCAGAGAATATCATCTGGCTGAGCCTGGCTGTCCTCATCCTTCTCATGCTTGGAGTTGTGTTGCTGGATGCCAGGAAGGGCAGAAGTGATCTGTGAGGTGGGACCAGTGAGTTTAGGCTGACAGCATCACTAACCCTTCATGGTCCTCATCAAAGACTGATATCAGGATCTGTCAAGACTGAATAGCATTGGGTTTTGCCCATTGTGTGGGGATTAAATAGCACCCCCTGGATTCTGCTCTAATTTCAGTATTAAACATACTGTGCTTTGGGGAGAGAGTCCCCAGGTGCTAGAGCTTTTCTCTCTTTTGTCTGCTTGTCTGTTTCTGACAGCACCCTCTGATGTCTGCATCTAATTTCTCCCTACTGTGGATGGTCTTCTGTCCTTCTCTTCCTCCTCATACCTCACTTCTGACTGCCTCCCTTATGACATTTCTCCCCAATATTCCCAGTGAGAACAGTCCCTCTTTGTTTCAGTTATTTTTTCAGAGTTGCAACCCCAATTTATGCCCTGCTTGCTTCTATCTAGAAGCTGAGATTTCTGGCCTTTCTCAGAGCTCAACCTCAAAGGTAAATGCATTGGTGCCATATTTTCCTTATTTGGTTGATGTCATCTGTCCCTGTGAGCCTGGTTGTCCTTTCCTCATTGGTATTTGGGATCCTGAAAGCCCAAGGCCACCTCTTCCCGGTATCCTAGCAACATGACCTGGAATTGCCCCCACCGCTATCTGGTTAATAATATCCCTTAGTTATTGTGAGATGATCAGGTCCACAATCTCCTGAACGTGTGTTTGGCAAAGGCTAAATAAAAAGAGGCAAATGGAATTATTTCAGGGCTCCAGGAGGATCAAAGCCTTCTCATAGAATCTGAGATTTAGTCAGGGCTAAGACCAAGACCATTTCTGGGTGGCCCATATTTATTTGGTTATCAGAAGAAGGGAGGGATATACTCAAGAAGGGGGGAATTAATTACTCAAGGACTTCTTCAAGTAAGGTATTAGGTTAACCCACCCAGAAGTGAGATGCCTGAGGCTATAGTCTTTATCTATTTGAGACTGGATTCAGGTGTTCTGTGCTGTGATCTTGTCTTATCCTTTGAGGTTTTTCGGCTTCATCCACTGTTACAGGTTTTAGTAGGGATTAGTGACTCACAGAGGTTCATTTTCTATGAGTCTGTTGCTCACTTCTAGACAAGTGGCTTAGGCTTTGGACAGCTTCACAAGTAAACATGAAAAGCCAATTGGTTAATTTATGTCCTGCTTTGGGCTACGTTGTGGTGGTCTCCATCAAGTCCTCCTTTTTGTTTTTGTAATTGCAGCTTTTGAAACATGGCTAGCATTGTCAGGTTTGACATTCCCTGTAGCAGACTAAGAACTGAAGTAAAGGTACAAATATGTTAATATAATCAGCCCATTATAGAATCCATGATGGGTCTGTTGGCAGCAGACTTCCCACTGGT